CCCAGGGAGAAAGTTCAACCAACAAGGAGGAAGGTCTGTGCAGGGGCTTTGTCACCTCTGAGAACGCTGCCAAGCAAAGCTTATTCATTTAAATGGGGTCAACACACCAGTCCTGACAAAACCATTTCTGGGTTCAGACTGCGTGGGAGGTGCAGCAGCCTGGACGATGATGCCAACATTTTCTGAGGGGCCTGGCCTGCCATTAGATGACTCAGTGCATTTCCCAGCACCTCAGCCAGGAGGCAAAGACAAGAACTGGAGCCTTTATTTATTTATTTTTCCTCTTGGGGTGGGACTGTTCTGTCTTGGCACCAGATCCACAGGAAAGCCTTCATTAATCCCTTCCCTGCCTGTGATCTCATCAACCAGAACACAGCTTCAGCCAGGGAAAGCAGAACTTTAGAGCCTGAATAAGCTTTCAAAATGTCTCAGGCCACTGGCCTTGAAGTAAGACCTGCTTGTGTCTAAACTCTAGCTCCTTTGGGTTTCAGTTTATAATATGTAAAATGGAGGTAATAATTACAGCCTCACAGGCTTGTTGTGAGCATTGAGGGAAGTAATATGTGTAAAGCACTTAGCACTGTGCTCTAGCCCAATAAATAAATATCATTATTATTAATATTCCCCCTTCTTGAGCAGCAGTACAGTAGTTGTTAAAGACAACTCAGACTGAGTGAGTTTTAGTCTTGAGTTCTTCTCTTTATAGTTGAGTGGGCTTGGGCAACTTCACTTTGCTGCATCTATTTCCTTATTTTTTAAATGAGGAACCTATCTCATGGAGTCGTTGTGAGTATGAAATTATGTAGATCAAGTGTTTAGCACAATTGCCAGTACATACAAGGGGACTTTAAAAAGTTTGTGGAAAAATGGAAACAAAAGGTACAAATAAAAATATAAACTTTATTTCTCAACACGATCTCCATCATGTTCAAGATACTTTTGTAGTCAATGATGCCACTATTTATTTTTTATTTTATTTAAAAAAAAAATTTTTTTTTTGAGTTGGAGTCTCATTCTATTGCCCAGACTGGAGTGCAGTGGCTGCTCCCAGCCACCGCAGCCTCAACCTGCTGGCCTCCGGCGATCCTTCCACCTCAGCCTTCCGAGCAGCCGGAATTACAGGCACACGCTACCACGCCCGGCTAATATTTGATTTATTGTAGAGATGAGGTCTCGCCAAGTTGTCCAGGTGGGTCTCGAACCCGAGGGCTCAGGCAATCCACTCACCTCAGCCTCCCAAAGCGCTGGGATTACAGGCTGAGCCACCAAGCCCGGCTTTTATGCCACTATTTAGTCTATATCTAAAGAACTGAGGGTCCTGGGAATTTAGCCATGTCAATGCAATCTTTTTTACATTATTAACTAAAGAAAAATGGGTGCCCTAAGATTAGGAGACAAAAGGAAGCCAGAAGGAGCCAAATTTGGACTGTAAGGTAGATGCCTACTGATTTCCCAATGAAACTCACAGAATTGCCCTTGTTTGATGAGTAGAATAAGCAGGCCCATTATTGTGTTGGAAAGGACTCCTTGGTGAAGTTTTCCTGGGAGTTTTCTCCTAAAGCTTTGACCAGCTTTCTCAAAACAGTCTCATAATAAGCACACGTTATTGTTCCTTGGCCCTCTGGAAAATCAACAAGTAAAATGTCTTGGACAACCCTCAAAAAACTGTTGTCATGACCTTTGCTCTTAACTGGTCCACTTTTGCTTTGACTGGACCACTTTCATCTCTTTGGTAGCATTGCTTTGATTGTGCTTTGTCTTCAGGATCATACTTAAAAAGCCATTTTCATTTTCTGGAACAATTTTTTAAAAAATATTTTTTATTATGGTTTTGTGGGGTACAGTTAAGGGTTAGGTATACAATTACGTTTCATTCAGGCACCCTGTATCTGGAACAATTATTATTATTATTATTTTTTTTTTGAGTTGGAGTCTCACTCTGTTGCCCAGCCCGGGAGCGGCCACCACAGCCTCATCCTGCTGGGCTCCAGCGATCCTTCTGCATCAGCCTTCCAAGTAGCTGGAACTACAGGCGCGCGCTACCACGCCCAACTGATTTTTTGATTTATTGTAGAGATGAGGTCTCGCCAAGTTGCCCAGGCAGGTCTCGAACCCGCGAGCTCAGGCAATCCACTCACCTCAGCCTCCCAAGGCGTGGGATTACAGGCTGAGCCACTGAGCCCGGCTCGTAACAATTATTCTAAGACATGCTTCAGGATCTTGATTCCATTTGTTTAAAATTTCCATTGAAAACTCTGCTTTTGTCCGTAGCTGATATGGGCACAATGATTTTGGCACCCATTGAGTAGAAAGTTAGCTCAACTTTTTCCTTTATTTTGACTCAGAGTCTCACTCTGTCACCAGACTGGTGTGCAGTGGCATGCCCACAGCCACCGCAGCCTCCACCTGCTGAACTCAGGAGATCCTTCTACTTTAGCCTTCCTAGTAGCTGGAACCACAGGCATACGATTCCACACCTGGCTAATTTTTTGATTTATTGTAGAGTCCAGGTCTTCCCATGTTGCCCAGGCTGGTCTCGAACCCGTGGACTCAGGCAATCCTCTTGCCTCAGCCTCCCAAAATGCTGAGATTACAGGCATGAGCCACCACGACTGGTTAGCCCAACTTTTTCTGTCAGAATTGTGTAAACTGAACCAACTGGGATGTCTATGATATTGGCTATTTTGCTGTTAATGATCAGTCCTCTTCAATCAGGACATGAACAAGATTAATTTTTTGGTCATAAACTGATGTGGATGGTCTGCTACTGTGGGGCTTCATCTTCAATATTGTCCTGTTCCTTCTTAAAACAAGTTGTCCATTTGTAAACTGCTGGTTTCTTCGAAGCATTGTCCCCATAAACTTTTCATAACGCATCAATGATTTCACCATTCTTCTTCCCAACCTTCACTATAAATTTGATGTTTGTTCTTGCTTCAATTTTAGTAGGATTCATATTGCTCTGATAGGGGCTCTTTTCAAACTGATGTGTTATCGTTCTTAGTACTATAGGCTAGATTCTGTAGTTAAAAAGTTAATACACATTTATTTTGGTGCAAAAAATTGGAAATCCATGCATAGTTTTTTAATAATAGACATCTATGGACTTTTTTGAAGACCCTTTATACAAATTCCACAACAAAAATGAACTACTCTTATCATTTTTTCAGCCCTATATCCTTCAGAATCTAGCTCAAGGTGTTAGTTTGCCCACAAGGCCATTAATTCCTTCTCCAGTCTTCATTGATTTGAGTAGTCTTACAATCCATTTTGCATTGTTCATGTTTATGTCCATCTCCCTAGACTCACTTTACTCCACCTTGAGGCACGTCTTATAGGTTATTTGTGTCCCCAAAACCCCAAGAAATCTAATCCAGGGAGCTTTGAAATTAGAAATGATTACATTGTACATCACACAACAAAAGTTCCCCCCCCAAAGTTTTTTTAAGTCACTCTATTCTTTTAATTTCCATTCCCTAAACAGTTGCCCATCCTTATTTCTCTATTTTTTGAGCTGGTACTCCCTCCATCCTGATTCCCTCTGCAAGTCCCCTACGGGAATACCTCTGTCTGTCTGTCTATCTATCTATCTATCTATCTATCTATCTATCTATCTATCTATCTATCTACCTACCTATCTATCTATCTATCTACCTATCTATCTACCTATCTCATCATCTAAGTACACACAAGGACTCTATTTCGTGTGGACTCTAGGGGGAGAAACACACATACACGCATGTATATGTAAATTAAAATATGCTCAGATATATAAAATACAGGGGGTGCTAAAAAATGTATACACATTTAAAGTATGACGTTCGCTCAAAAGATGGCATTAATCAAATGGATGCTAGCGTCACCATGCGACAGGTGGGACAAAGAAAATGGCAGGAGCACTGTTGAGCAAACGTCATGACACATTGCTACCATCATTTAATGCAACTTCAAAAAGTAATACATAGATAACATCTCTTAAAATGTGTATACCTTTTTTTGGCATCTCCTGTGTGCAGATGGACATACATAAAAAACTCCCTTGGTGCACCCAATGAATCCATCCATTCATTCCTTGATCAAATATTTGAGTGCCCAGTCTGCCTAGAACCAAGCTATCTGTCGGGATAAACAAGGCATGAGGTTTTAGCTTTCATGGAACTTAGAATTCTACTGGAGGAAGACAAGTATAAAATTTAAGCTGTAGAATCAACATGGGGCGTGGTGAGCGCTTGATGAGGAGGAAATGGAGTACCCCTGGTGTTTGTTCTACAGGGTAGTCTGGGTGGACTTGGAGGTGAAATAAGAACCGAGATCATTTTTAAAACGGGAACACTGAAACACGGACACTTGAAGAGCCAAGGTGGGCGGAAAAGGAGGCAGCCTCCTATCCACCACGGGACCACTTTCCCAGCAACCAGAGGAGCTCCACTGACCCGCAAAGGCCCCAAACAGCTCACCGCGCAGTCCGGAGGCGCCTGCGCAGAAGTGCGCCGCCAGCCTGACGTCAGCGCGCCGGGTTCGGGCCGGCCCCTGGGATGCCAGCCCCGCCCCAGCCCCGCCTCGCACGCCCGCGCGCTCTC